CCGGAGGGAACCGTCCCCCGGGTCGGACCCCGGCTCCCCCGCACGGAGGCCAAGGAGGCTCTCAGTGAGCGGTCTTCCAATTCCAAGTTCCTTGAAGATAGGCACCGAGCGTTGTTTTTGCTCCTTTGCACCTCCGGGTTTCCAACACGAATACCTGAGCACCTCCCGTGTGTGTGTGTGTGTGTGTGTGTGTGTGTGTGTGTGTGTGTGTCAGCCACCGGGCTCAGGGTCTGCCCGGCCCAGCCCGCAGGCCCTCCCAGCCCCTCTGCCCGGGGAGGGCAGGCGGGCCGGCAGGCAGGCAGGAAGCAAGAAGGCCCCTAGGCATGGGCGGCCGAGAGAACCCCAGAAAGTGGTCAGCGCGACAGTCGCACCGGAGAGCAGGTCTTCCGCTCCCTGGGTAACACCCGTGGGCCTGTGGACCACTGGGGCCCCGGCGCCGGCTCCAGATCAGCGGGGCAGCTCCCCTGACGCTTTGAAAGGAAATCAGAATGTCCTGAATCACAAGGAAAAGGGCTCCCCTTCTGAGGGAGAAAGAGTCCTTCGTGAAAACTATTTTTTCTTCCCCGGTCAGACGTCACGCGGTGTTTTTAAACAAGCAGAGAGGATCGAGGCATGGGTTGGGGGAAAGGCTGGCCGCACCGCGCTGAACCTCCCACGTGGGGGACGCGGTCTCGCAGCCGCTCGCGCACCGAGCACCGCACATCTGTTTCCTGCGACGGGGACTAGTAACGTCCGGTCTCTTAGCAACTTCCACACACGCCACATGGGGCTGTGGGGCCCAGGCGCCGACCACACCTTGCGTCCCGGGACCCACTCATCTCACGGCACTGCCTGTTGGTTTTTTTTTTTTTTCTTATCAGCTAGAAAGACTTTTATGTGTACAAGTACCCGAGGGGACTAATACGCCAGGCTGAGATGACAGAAGACACCACCTTGCACTGTCTCTCCTGCTTTTCATTCAAACGTCTACGGCTTTTTCTTAGTTGTGCAGAGTTTTGTTTTGTTGTGTTGTGTTCTGTTTTAGTAAAACAGAAACGTCATGAAACTTAAATGAAGGAGCCTAAGCAGTTCCACCCGCTCAGAAAGCTGGTCCCTGGCTTGGAGGCCGGGCCTCCCCACGGTCGCCGGGGCCGGCCAGGGCCCGAGTCCGGCCGGCCGGGCTGGTGACCGTGGCAGGACCCCGCATCTCCACCTCAGGTCCTCGGAGGGGACAGCGGTCATCACCTCCGTCGCCCTGCAGCGGTCTGCGCTGAGCAGGTCCGCGGGGCTCACCTGCCGGCCGACTGTTCACGGATCCCCACGCACGGCCATGGCCGCGCTGCCGGCCCGGCTCGCACCCCCGCGCCCCGGCCCCGCCAGGCCAAAGGAGCTAAGGTGCAGCTGAGCCGAGAGCCTCTGGGTTGAGCACATCGCCTGCTCCCCGGCGGGACCGGCATCCTCTCGGGGTGTTCCAGTGGGGGCCCCCGCAGTACCTCGGTGCCCGGAAAGCAGAACACGGGGGAGGCATGCGGGGCGTGTTCAAGTGCACGGGCCCTGGAGACTTGCGTTTTCCGTCCTGGACAGGTGAGGACCAGACGAGGCAGAGCAGCCCGCGGGAGCCGCTGCCGCCCGAGCCCGCACGCCTGCCCGATCTCCCCTCCCCGCGCTCTCCGTCCCTCCCCACCCGCTTCGTCCCGCCGCTTCCCCACCTTCCCGGCGGCGGCCAGGGCTCCATGCACGCACGTCACGGAGAGAAACGGGGCGAGAGCCCTGGCGAGGGCCCTGGGGGGAGCAGAGGAATGCCCAGAATCCTCAAGGCAGTGTTTTCAACTCCACACCGAAGGGCCTTTCCTCCAGGTGCCTCCCCGCTGTCCCCAGCACCAAGTGGGACGAGGGGAACTGATGCCCCAGGAGACTGGCGCGGCTGCTGCTGGCCTCTCGCGGTACGGCTTCCTGGCCTCCTCTGTGTACACACACACACACACACACACACACACACACCTGCAGAGTGGACCCCCTCCCCGGCCCTCGGGGGCTGGTGCTCTCTGCGGGCAGAGGTCTTCCCTTCCAACCAGCACCTCTCTGAGGCACTCAGAGGTCAGCAGCGGAAGTCAGGTGGCAAGAGGAGAGGAGACAGGGCCAGCCTCACAGGCCCTGACCTGTGAGGGATGGAGGCTGACCCCCGGCCCGGAGCGCTGGGCATCAGTGCCGGCGCCACTTCTGGGGGGCCCTCTCCTACTGGTGGGTCGGCCGCTCTGGGTCAGGGACCCGCAGGGCAGCGCCTGGAAAGTGGCAGGAGCCTGCGGCGCACCTGTCCCCCGGTGACCGCATGAACCAGGTGCAGGGCCAGAGGGACGGGCGTGCAGCTGAGGCATCACAGCGCCAACAGGTGAGGGACTTTCTGATGACGATGAAGACGGGACAGGCAGCCCTTTCCGCCGCGATCGACCTCGGCAGCCTGGACACGACCCATGGCGAGGCGCTCGCCAGCACACGAGACCACACGGAAAGGAAGACGGGGAGTACACACGCAATGCTTAAGACACATCTGTGTGCACGTGGGCATTTTTACATTCTCACAGCACCCAGGCTTTTTTTTTCAAAGAGGCTCGTTTTTACTGCCAAACATCCAAAAACTCCCTCAAGCACTGGGCACTCCAGCGGTCCAGACAAAGGCGGCCGGCCGGTCACACAGCCGCGGGCAGGACAAGGATGCCGCCGTGGGCGGGAGGGCAGACACGGGCTCCGGTCCTTTAAGCCCCCGTGCGGCCACCGCCAGCCTTCCTCCAGGCGCTCCCGTCACAGACCTTCCCTGAAAGGTCTTCACGCTCACTGCCTTAGCAGCATCCCCGGCAGGGTTCCCGAGGTCTGCACTCCTATCCCAGCACCGGGCTAACCTCTTGCTGACTTGGTTGGCGGGAAGAAAAGGAAAAAAGAAAAAAAAAGCACCACACCTCCTGACTGTACGACCGCTGGGTTTCTTTCTCCCCGTGGGGACTCTGCAGAAGGGGCCCCTTCGGATGACCCCTGTCCGGGGTCCTCTGTCCTCCCCAAGGCAAAGCCTGCTGGGGAGTCCCCGGGGACAACTTCATCCCACTGACCCGCTCCCTTCACCCAGCCCGATGCCACAAACACCCAAGGGAGCAGCCGCCAGCGCCGCAGCGAGGAGGCACGAACAGAAACCGCCTGGTCTTGGGGCAGCCCGCTCCGTCCCCGCGCCTCCTCTCCTCGCCGCCACCCTGGCCCAAAAATTATGTTGTCACGGGCAAGCCGTGGCAGCCCTCATCCCCCCACCCCACTCCCAGCTGCAAACTGTAAAAAGAAGGCATTTGGGGGGTTTTTTTAAAGAAGGAATTGACAAGTGGAGAAGGCAGGCCAGGCCCCGCCTGCCCCAGACCTGTCAGATCTGGCCGGAGCGCCTGCCCCCCTTCCATCCCCAGCCACGTGGCCTCTGCCTTGGTTAGGTGCAGATGCCCACGCCTGACCACATTCCTCCTCCACTGCAGCCCCTCTGGAAACCTCCTCCGCCCCTGCAGGTGGGCAGACCCGACTGCTCTGCTGTGCCCCTCGGAGCAGAGGGAGACGGCCCATGGGGGGGCGGGGGGAGGGGTCAGCTGCCAGACCGGGCTGCACCCACCCCCAGCCCGGACCAGGTCAGGGAGCCAGCAGGAGCAGAGACGGACCGGCTGCAGCCCGCTGAGGAGTGTGAGACAGGCCGCCTGGCCACGAGGCCCACTGGAGCCCACGGGAGGCAGCATGGTGAGGGGGTGGGGGCAGCCGGCCGAGCAGCCCACGCGCACTTTCCCGGGGCTACGCCCCCAAGCCACCCGGACAAGTTCCAGGCGGGAGGAGGGGCTGGACCCTGGCTGCCCGGAGGCCCGGCCCGGAGCAGGAAGACGAAACTGCAACCCAGCCCTGAAAGAGTCGGCCGCGAGCCGGCGCCGCGGAAGCGCGGTCCCCCTGCCAGGCGCAGACAAAGGCTCGGTGCGCACGCGGTGGACGGCGGCGCCCGCGCCCCGCGTTCGGGGCTGTGAGGAGCCGCGCCCGGCAGGGCTGGCGCGCGAGCCTCCGGCGCCCCGCGGCCCCGGCGGTCCCGCACTACCGGTCCTCACCTTGCTCGCCCTCCATCCACGACAAAGGCGGTCCCCTCCCGCGCGCACCGGCAGCCTTCTCCCTCGACATCTCACGCTTCCTGCTTTCTAGAGAACCTTTGCCTCGATTGTTCTGCTCTGCCTGGCACCCCCCGCCCCCATGACACGCCTTCTGCCACCCCTGCTCTAACGCTGTCTCCTACCAGGGGCTGGGGGCGGGGGGGAGGCTGGCCGCGGTCCGATCAGGGGCGCGACCCGGGGCTCCGAACCCGTGGCCCCTCTCTCCTCCGCCCTAACGCCCATTGTCCTTGCCTTTTCCAGCCCGAGCGCCAGCTATGCCCCAGGATCTAGAAAGTGGAGCCAGGGTGGGGTGGTGCGCCCTTTTTGCAGAGGCCTGCCGTTTCCACCCGGCTCGTCCTACCTCTGGAACAGAGTCGTGGGGTGGGGAACGGGGGGGAGCGACCCGGTCGCAGACAGCGGAACCCCGGGGACCGCGAGTGCCTTCATCTCCGGGAGAGCGGGATCCGGGACCCTGGCCAGCCCTTTCCCAGCCAGGGGTCTCCGCGGGCAGGACCCCCAGTGAAAAGAAGCGCGTTCGCTCCTCCAGCCAAGCGGCCCCAGGTTAAAGTGCAAGGAGCCTGGGACGCGCGCTCAGGTGGGGAGTGTGAAGACGCGCCCGGGAAGTGTGGACCGAACCAGCACGGGGCAGCAGGACCGGTTCTAACGCGCGGAGCCCCCCGGGTCAGCCTTCTCCCGCACGCACGCCGCGCCTGGGAAACCCCGGCGTCCCGGGGCCGGCGCCACTCCCGCGCGCTGCCGCTGTGCCCCCCCGCCGCCCGCGCCCCTCCGGAGAAGCCCGCTGGACGCCACGCGCCTGGACTCACACGCCCTGCCCGCCCCGGCCGCCGGGAACGGGGAGCGGGCACTTACTGGGGCTCAGGAAACACTCCGTCAACCTTCGGAAGCAGCTCGTGTTATTAGAAGGTCCATCTTCCATGTCGGAGCCCAACAGCAGCCGGGCCGCAGCCGCTAGGGCGAAGCCGGCGCCTCCGGGCCGCCGCGAAGTCCGGCCGCCTCCTGCGCTGGGGCCGAGACCGGGGCCGGGGCCGTCCACGCCGGCGCCCGGAGAGCCGGAGGAGCCCGCGCGGCGGGCAGCTGGGCAGAGAGGCAGCCGGGGCGGCGGCGGCGGCCGGGGCCCGGCGCGGGCTGGAAGCAGCCAACCCAGGAGCGCAGGGGAGAGAAAGAGCCGCCGCCGCCCGCCGGCGCTGCCACCGCCGCCGCGGGGACTCGTGCTGGGGGGGACGCTCACGGGAGCCGCCTCTTGTCCTCCGCCGCTGCCGCCAGCATCGCCGCCGCCTCCTCGAGCCGCCGCCGCTGCGCCCTGCCTTCCTGGGAGCCGCACGGGGAGGTGGAAGGCAGAGGAGGAGGGGACCAGAGGAGGAGGGGGCAGTGGGGGCGGCGACCAGAAGTAAAAGGAAGATGGAGAGGGGGAGGGGACAGAGGAGGAGAAGGCGAGCGCGAAGAGAGCGCGGGCCGGGACCCAGCCGCCGCCGCCGCTGCTGCCGCGCGCAGTCTGGGCGCCGGGGCCCCCCGCCGGGCTGGCGCGGCCTGCGCAGGAGGGGGGCGGGCGCGAGGGCGCGGCGCGCTCGGCCCGGCCACGGGCAGGCCGCTCGGGGGCTGGGGCTGGGCCCGGGCCCGCCGCGCTCCCCCCGCCGGCCGCGCTGCGCCGGGGCTCCGGGCGGAGTTTGCCGTGGCCGGAGTGGGGCTGGTCCCCGGCTGCGGGCAGGGGGGCTTGGGGGCGGGGAGCGAGCGGCTCTTCGGGGCTGGCCATGGCCTTCCTCCTCCGCCCGACCTCAGCGGGCTCCGCCCCCGCAGGACCTGCCCTCCTCTGCCGGTCAGCCGAGCGTCCGCCCGAGCTTCTCTCGCGTCTTCCGCGCCCCTCGCCAGCCCAATCTTCACATCGCGTACCGCTTTGGGTGCGGGGGGCCCCGGGGCCACTGCGAGTCCGGGGCGGTGGCGTCTGGCTGCTGGCTGGCGCACACAATCGGCGTGCTCCCGGTCGGGGCGCGGGGCTGCGGAGTCGCTGCCTGCAAGCGTGGCGTGGTTTGTGCGCGCTCCGGTGGCTGAGCCGCGGCCACAGCTCCAAAGCAGCGGAGAAAAGCGCCGCAATGCCGCTGCCCGTGGAGGCGGTGGCGGCGGCAGCGGCAGAAGACGCCCACTGGCGGAGCGAGCTCTCTCCACGCCGCCGCGGTCCGCGCCCACGTAGCGCGCCCCACCGCGACTCGGCCTGGCGGCGCAGGCCCCCACACCCAAATCACCTCTGCAGATAGTGTGCGCCTGGGCCGGGGCGGCGGGGCAGGGGGACGCCTGCGGCTGGGCCGGGTGTCGTCGTGGCTGTGACTGCTGTTCTGGGTTTCAAACCCGCAGGACAGCAGCTGCCCCAGCTGCGCTCTGTGCTCTGCTGGGCGAGAGACGCCCGCCTGCCCCTTGTCCAAGCTAGGGAGCTCGCCTGGGGGTGGGCCGGCAGCTCCCACCGAACTGTGCTCTGAGCTCCCTGAGGAGCGTTCAAACGCGGAGGTTTGTTTGGTTTGGGTGTAAATCCACGTACAGTGCTTCCAACACACTGAGGTTTAGAAAGCCAGTCCATCCCAGCCCTCCTTTCCGACACCCACCCTCTGAGGAACTTCGGGTGCGCGGCCCAGTTTGCCCGGGTGAGGTCAGACAATGCAAAGGGCAGGCGAGGGCTCGAAAGAGAAAAACCGTGAGATCTTCGCCCCAAAGTCTTGACGGCCAACCAGCCACCTGTAAATTTCCCGGGCAACCCCGTCCCCTCTCTTCCCAGCCTTGAATCCAGACAGCTGCTCCTGGAGGAAAATGTGCCGCCCAAAGGGCGCTGAAAACGAGGCGCTGCCACAAGTTTGGAAGCTGGAGCGCCAGAGCGCACAGAGGCGCAGGTGTCCGCGTGCCAGTCCGCGCGCGCGGCGGAGCCACCACCGCCCGCGGGGTTCGAGTGGGGGCGGCGGGCCGGCTGTCTCGCGGTGGGACGCGCTGCCAGGACTCCCAGAACTAGGTCACCTTCCCAGGAGTGGAGCGCGCGCGCCGAAGCTCAGCTTTGGCGAAGGGCAAGGCTGTCCCCAAAGCCCGAGGCGCGCACGAGGGTGCCGCCGCGGCGCCGAGGAAAGACTCGGGGCCCCGGGAGTGCGCCAGGCCCCGGGCCGGCTCTCACCCTGCACGTCCCCTTCTCCCCGACCAGTTCTCGGGTGTTTTCACTGTGAAGTTTGCTCCGGAGAATTCCTCGGTCTGTGTTTTTCCTCACTCCGATCCAAATGCCCCACATGGGACGGGGCATGTTTGTGTTCACATCCAGCTGGGCATGTAGGGCTCCCCGGAGCCCTGGGAGGCTCCCCTGCCCAGCGAGGACTCGGGCGTTTCCGCGGGGGAAAGGTGTAGTCCGAGCGGGGGGCGTCCGGGGCGTCCGCCCCGGCGCTCCAGATCAGAATCCCCAAACTGGCGGAAGGATAACACGACCCCCGGGCTCGTACCTTACCTGGGGCCCGTGCGGTTTTGCTTTGTGTTTGGGGTAACGGGGGCGGTGTAGCGAAGAAAGGGGACGACCGAGCTGCGCTGTGTGGTCTGCGGCAGCCTCCTGGCTGCCGCGCCTGGGCAGCGCACACCCGACACTTGTAACTTCCCTGGAAGTCGCGGGCGTGCGCGGCGCCCGGAGCGCCTCGGCGCCTGCCCGCGGGGTCTGAGAGGGCGGGCTTCTCCTCCGAGAGTACGCCGCTCGCTCCTTTCCCGCACAACGTTTCTGCTCGTCACTGACGTTTCCTTGGCTGCCTTTTCGGAGTCGTTGCAGTGTCTTTGCAGCTACGAACAAATGTCCCTTTAACTCGAAAGTAAACCTCCTTAGCTGTGCAGGGAGGAAAACATCAAATATCTGTTCCCGGGGTTTGTTCCATCAGGACGCCGGCAGTAATTTTCACTGAGCCGTTTCTGGGATCAGACAACTGTGTTTTCGTTCTTCTTTTCTCCAGGTACTTGGGGGGAAGGCACCCATTTCCTGGGCAAGGTAAAAAGAAAAGGCGTGACAACGGAAAGGGATCGTGTCGAGGGAGGTGTTTACCGATTAGTGGTTACATTTGTTTAGTGTGCCCCCAATTCATCCCGGAGTCCGCTTGGGTTCCTCTCTGCGCGACGGGCACTCCGCCACTGCTCCTTCCTACGGAAACGCGGTTCGGCGGGAGATTTCCATGACAAACCCCCAGGGACGGACAGACGCTGGGCACTCACCCCCGGGCGCGGGTGTTGCAACGCCTGCGCGGCGCTTCTTGGGGATTCTTTTCCTTCTCGTTGAGCTTCCCCAGTAACGATGCATCAGAAGAGGAGGAAGGTCGCCACTGCACACGTGTTGCTGCAAACCTTTCACGAGTGAACGCACCGGCCCGTACTTAAGTGAGCTCTGCACCCTGGCTGCCCCTACGCAGTGTGCCGCTGAGCCACGCGTCCCGGGTCCTCAGGCTGCGTGCGGTGCGGTTTAAGCGGCGCCGAGTTGTCCTTGGGGGGCCTCCGGGCGCACTCCACGGGGGGGAGGGGGCTCCTCTTTCTCGTTCTCATTCCCGGCTGAGAAAATGCCAGCCCACCCTGCGAAGAAGAAAAGCTCGGAGAACGTTGAGAGGTCAGTCAACACCAGCAGAAGGGGCAAGATTATGATGATTATTACTAGCAGTTGAAAAGAATTGCTAGTAAATAAAGACTATGAAAGGACAAATATTTTAAAAGAATATAAAGCATTTTGCCTCTGCCCTTTGCCAAGGAAGATGAGGAAGGAGGAAGTTACGTGGGTAATGAAATTTTCCAGTTAGTCTGTCTATGCAGCCATAAGTATATTTAAATTCTCCAAACACCCTTCCATAGATTGTTTTTTAATCAAGCCAATTCTACATTTGTTTTAGTATTTCACGCATAATCATCAGTCTGTAGAGGAAACAGTATCTGCATGACCGTTATCCAATTTAAATGACAGGCTCCTGAAGGCAAGCATCGAGGGAGATCCCCACAAATTTTAAGACGATGATTTTCCTCATCAAACTGTGACATTTCTTTAAAAATGAGCCCCTCAGCCTTTTCATAGCCTAGGAGGGAGATTCAGCAGAAACGCAGCCAGTATTTCGTGAACTCTTCAGTCAATGGGCAGGTTTGTGTCTTCAATGATTACGCCTCGCACCCTCGATGCTAGCGCGTGCAGACTGTGGGTTCTACATTGCCGATGGATTCCTGAAGAACCTGTTTCCTGTTTCAGAACGCTTACAAACTCAATAAAATATAAAACAGAGACTGATCAAACGTGAAACTCATCTACTTATACAGACAAAGTCTACACAAGAGCCACATTTTCTTTACATGGATTTTAATTTTTCTGATCTGTTCAAAATATAGTTGAGCAAAATAACGCATCAGCAAATGGCCCTTGCCCCCAAGCGCCAAGGAAAGAGGCGGGGTTGCATGTGAGACTTTTTTACTTAACTGCGAGTAGAGGAGCAGCATCTATGTCATTCGGGTGTGAAGTGTCGCGCCGCACAAACTTTCTGCATTCTAATTAGGAAGATCGCTCATTCATCACCTGGCCTGTTATAAATGGCATTGTGGGGCCAGGCGTGCCCTCTCTCCCTCCCACACCCCCCGCATCCCTGGCTATGAACTCTGGGTGTGTCTCTCCAAGTCCAAACACATCATGGCTTTGTGGCCAGCGCCCCCTGGAACCGAGGTATCTTATCTGCACATACGAACGAGTTGCACCAAACCGCTTCCCAAGACATTTTCTGCACATTTAACTTGCGTTGCCAATTCCATCTTGAACAGCTTGGTACCGGGGCTCATGCTTCTCTCTCCACTCATAACCTGTCACCAAGGCCAGTACACAGTAGGTGCTGCACGATTGCCCCCCGCCTGCGTGCCAACTGGTTACAAATTTCCACTCATGCGGAGGTTAACAGATGCTGGGTAAACTGAGGGGTACATTCTTACAGTACCGTTGTAGTCAAGCCAAAAACGGGGAGGCTATTGTAGTTCTAGTAAGAAAAATAGTATAAAGTCAATCCATGGAATAAGACAGCTTTGAAAACAGACCAAAGATGGTAAAAAAAAAAAAAGCTCCTTCAGCTACCCGTAATATTCTTAGATCTTCAGTTCCACTTACATTATTTTTATGAATTCAAACAGCTTGACTACAAAGCAAACTACCATTTTATTATTGCTTTATGTTCTAAAACAACGAAAAAACCAGTATAGACCATATGATTCTTCATTTAAAACATCAAAACAGTGTTTAATTTTCAGTGAAAATATCCATAATAGGCAGATGATTACAACATCAAAATTCCAAATAAACCTTCTCCAGTACCCATACCTTCTAAACAAGAGGCTGAGTTGTGCTTCTGGGTGAGCAGGAAGAGCCACATGTAAATTTTCACTAACCAAACGCCCATTTAATTCCCCCCCGCCCCAGGACCAGCCCTGTCTGGTGGCCGGGGCCAGCCCCGAGGACACTGGCGTGAGAGCACTGCCGAGGTTACATAATTGATACTAAATTCTTGTGGTAACCATGGGAGCCCTAACTCTGTTACATAACGCTGCCGTGTTGTGATACAAAACTACATTTTGAAGAGGTTGCCATTAAAAAATATTCAATCACTTCGGAAGTCCACCGAGGTTTGTAGCATGCTGACACAGTTTTGCTTTCTCAAAAAACATGCAAATTAAAATGCAACCAGGGCTTCTGGTACATAATCAACACTTTCGCCAGACTTCCACAGGCCAGCCATGCCATACCCA